CTCTATCTATCTATCTCTATCTATCTATCTCTATCTATATACTGTATCTTTATCTAACTATCTACCATTATGTAGCATATTTATTTACAACAGGTTTCTGGACAACAAATGTTGTATAACTTATAAGAAAACTAGATATGGGTGGCTGCAGTTGAATGCTCTGCCTGGAAGAGTACCCACCCACCTAGACAGAAAACAAAAGTAAATTGGGGTGATTAGAGGATCACAAGGGACTTCAATTGAAGGGAATAACTTCAATGTTTGTCTCCTTAAAATGTTAGTTTTGTCAGTGAAGTGTGCCTACTGATCCCAAAGAGATTATGTATTCCTAATCCAAACTAACTTTTCAAGAAGCTGCATTTGACATGAGATGACATTATATACATTTTAACTGGTGTATGATCTGGAATATTTCAGTCATTCCTAAAAAAAAACCTCACTATTTGAAGCTACAAGCATCAATTATGAATAAAATTGTGAATTATGAAGATTTGTTTTTATGTTTTCTCTTCCACTTACCCAGCCACGGTTTTGCCAAGGTTCATATATGGGCTTGACATGTATTACTTGGATTGTATTTAATACAACCTCTCTCTGCTTATTTCTACTAGAGTCATCCTGTAGTAAACCTTTTTTCTACATATCCTATATTAACTATGAGTCTGTTAGTCATAGTTAATGGTTAATAGTCTACTACATAGTAATACTAAATAGACATAATTAGTCAACTTTGTAGTCTGGAAATATTTTTTTCAGATTTAACTATTTTGTCAGTGGTTACATTCTGGGGTCACCTCTTTGGGTTACCCACCTTTACCAATGACATCCATCAGTAGACAATACTGTGATTGTCCCTTTGGACTACCAACATTTAGCAGCTGGACTTGTCTTCAACTTTAGATACACCTCCTCCCAGATATTCTGCATTTATTTCTTTTTTTCCTTCTCACTCATCCATTGCACTTTCTTAAAATGAGCACTATGGTCAATAAACCTTGTTCTTTCTACACTGCTTTGCATGAACTGTGAACATAAAGATTAAGAATCAACCCAATTAAAGTTTCTTTTTTATTTGGATAAATGAGATACTGCCATTAAATACTGCAAAAAGCAAATTGTGGGTAGATAAGAGTGAAAGGAATCCAAGGTGGGCTGGACTTAGATCTCTTGTGGGTGGAAAGAACTCATGAGATGGTGCATTTGACTCCTCCCTTAGGCTCAGCCAGTCACCTTCTACTATAATGTCTTATTGTTCCAAATTATTCCATACTGTCATTTTTATATCCACTTTCAGAACAGTCTCAGGCATATCTGGAAAGCTTGTTCCTTTTCCATACCATCTTTTAAATCTATATTGACAGACACTTCTAACTCCTGGATTCATTGTTCACAAATATCCTTCACTATGCCCAAAGGTATTTTGCCCCATTCTTATTAGTAATGCAAGTGTTTTTTTNGACTGATGGATGGACAGAGGATAAATTGATAATCTTAAGATAAAAATGTATAGTTTTTAAATACTGTGTTACATTTTCCTGTATTATATATGTCCAAAGGGTATTCTTTTGGTACATTATAATTTCCGGTTCCATCTGGCTTTAATATATAATATAGCAGATCATTAAATTTCAGGTAATTTAGAAATTCATTGTCAAAAGGAGCATTTGAAAAAATATCTAAACAGAAGTGTATTTTTTCAAAATACACTTTTATAAAATCTGATCCAGAAGGAGAGGCTTGGAAAATTAAATAAAACAAAAGAAACTCTTCTTTTAGTATTGGTCAACCAGGCAATAAAATATGCCCCAATTGTTGGCCATCCATTATTTACCAGGTTTATATGCTGCTCCCATCACTAATGATAAACTGAACAGAAAGGCACTCAGTCTGAGAAAAACTGCTTTATATCACTGTGCTCTTCAGCTAAAAAGAATCTGAGAATGGTTAGCAAAATACCAGTACTAAGATAGCCTTGACTTTCAAACTTGCAATGTAAAAGTTGTGACATGCAAGGAAAATGGAATGGAAAGGGAAATTGAGAGTTCAATCAGTGATTCTTAAAAGTTTTGTTTTGTTTTTCATCACAACCAGCTGGAATGAAAGCAATTTTGATGTATCATTATAACAGCTTCCTGGGCTCCAAATGAAGAAAACAAGATGTGGCTGATAGAAACAGGGATTACACACGAGCTCTACTAGAACCTATGACTAGTTTGTTCCCATAATCCTGAACTAAAATTTGTGTTGGGGAGGACTTCATTTTCTTTTCCTATAAATAAAAGATATTCTTCCATTCAGCCATTTGTCGGAAACCAAGGGTGGAAAACTGAGTCAGATTGGGAAAATTCAATAAATCCCTTTATTTAATATTCTGCATGTAGCATCCAGAATGCTAGTTTGTCATCTCTGGATTATAGGATCCTTCAGGCAATGTGAGAAAAAAAAATCCCCCAATCACTTCAAATTCAGTTTCCAGAAAATCTTTTTCTAACATGCTATCATAGAGGACGCAGTGGCTCAGTGGCTAAGACGCTGAGNGGGCTGTGAACTACGAATAAATCCTAACACCTGAGCTTCTGCCTGTCCCTTTCTGCCAGAAAGGGATGATATCTATTGATCTTAATTAGATATACAGACCAGAACTTTAAGAGGGGCTCCGTTGAGCTCCTCGGCGACAGGCTCCTCCCACAGGAAGTCGATAGCAAAAGTAATTCTAAACACCACTGTCATTATGTATCATTCGGATGAGACTTTTGATAAATAAAGTCACAGAAATAATGCCCAGTACGTTTCCCGTAATATACAGTCTTGGTTTTCAATAAACCCTGGCATTGTAAATCATCTTTGGAATATTAGAACTATGTAAGGAATCAAGGTCAACAAGCTAGGTACATTTATGGAATCATAATCCAACACATTCCGGTTGCTACACAATGTCCGTGTAAGGCTTTCCAGAGTGAAGGCTTGTAGAAAAAGCACTAAACGCATTGGTAGCAACTGGCCAAAGTAATAAGAACAGCATTTAGTTGATTTCATATAATGTACTGCCCTTACTGCTAATACGTCTTTTTCAAATATTAGGTAAATATTAAAAATGTAACAACAGAACACTTCAAATAACTTTCCGACCAGATGGGGAAAAAACAAAACACATTTACTGTCATGAAATATCCTGAAAGTACAGAATGCTATAAGATTTTGTTGGCACCATCCTTTTATACAAAGACTAGTAAAAACTGAACCTAAAAATTTGTATATAACTACTAGTGATTGATATGATTTATATGAAAACCAAATTCAAAGGTTTTCAAGATTCATTCATCTTAACAAAGTTACATGAAAATGTAAGTGCAAACAGTATTTATATATACTTAATATATTTCTTTTTCATATATTTCTATACTCAATTATCATGCTCTCGTCCTAGAGATTACCTCATACTGTATTACTGAAAAATATATACATTGCAATGGCATGGACACTATTAATTATAGGTTTTAATTGTGGATCCTGCTCTGTTACATAAAGGGGAAGGGCAATGAATCACCATTAATTTCTTCTGGAAGTCAGAAGCCACAACCAACAGAACCACATAAAAGCAATGTATGAATAATTGGAAATTGAAGGCATTCCATTATTCCAATGGCATAAAGGCCTTTTTTCCCCTCTTAAATTAAAAACATGGTGGATCAGTTTCCTCTGTAATGACTTTTCTTCCTGTACATACATAAGGAATAATAGCGTTGAATATCAGTGAGCCATTCATAGAAAATCCACGCTTACTTTCCGTGACTAGTTTCCCGCTTAAAACAACTAACACATAAAAAATGCACCACCCTTGTGCTGTGGTAGAGAAGATGACTTTCAATTTCCATCTGAGCATAGCAGGAGAGTTAAGAGTTATGTGACTGACGGGATGTCTGATTAGTTTAAAATTATTTTCTTAGAAATATGCTCCTTCCAATGACTACCAACCACCAACTTCCATTTGGACCTTGCACCCTGACCAATAAGGAAATAAGCTTTATTATTAAACTAAATTCCACAAGCAATTAAATGATCATTTAATCCAGTGGTGAAATTTAATTTTTTTACTACCGGCTTTGTAGGCGTGGTGTAGCTTTGTGGGCATGGCTTGATGGGTGTGGCAGAAGAAGGATACTGCAAAATATCCATTTCCTCCCCACTCTGGGGTCAGCTAGATGTGGCGTTTGCCAGTTCTCCAAACTACTCAATATTTCCCTATTGGTTCTCCAGAACCTGCTGGATTTCACTCCTGATTTAATCCCACACCTATCCAACATTTCTCACTGAATCCCATCCCAACATGTATATTGCCCCTCAAAGCACTTGAGCCCCGTTAATAAAAACGGGTGAGGAAAGAGTGAGGCTTCGAATATTGAAATAATTCTATGTTGCATTTTAAAAGATTGTTTTTATTGCACTGAGCCTCTCCACGCATTGGCCAGCTGGTCTTTAAAACGGAAATGAACCTCAGTGCATAAAATGCCTGAAACCCTGGCCCAGTATAAGCTGTTCACGGATCTCGCCAACTCCCAACCTGGTTAAGTATCCCTTAAAGAAGCCTGTTACCGTATGAGCCGAAGCGAGCCCTGGAAAATGGGGGGGGGGGCAGTTAAATAAACGAGGCTTAAGCTTTTTGGGGATTAAAACAGACTCATTTGCTTATATTTACGTCCCCAAAGCCTCTTTTTGCTTTCAAATCAAACGCTTGCAGAGACAATGAAGCGCAAGGTCCACATTACAACGCTCCGCCGAGGCCACAACCTCTCTCTCTCCCTAACGGAACCCGGCTTAATCACGTCAGCGGGCGAAGGGAAGCCCTTCCCTTCCGCAGCTCTCGCGGCCAGAGAGCAGCGGCGGGCAGCCAACCAGCCTTTGCCTTGTGTCCCGCCACTCCCCTCTCCAGGACTCGTGTCACATTTACGCTACGCCTGGGGCCGGCCCTGGCCTGTTCCTCCTCCTCCTGCTTCCTTCAGCGATGGCGTCTCTCCGCGCCAGCCATTCAATGAAGGGCTGAGAGGAGCCGCGCCTGAGCGTCCACAAAGCAATCCAAGGCCGCCGCTGGGCCAAGCGCCTCCGTGGCTTTGTTAGAGCTCCGGGGGCCGGCCGCATTGCCCGCCCCGGGGCGGTCGTTGCGGAGTCTTCGAGGCTGGTCCCTAGATCGGTCGGACGCCGGCTGAGAGGAGGCGGCGGCGTCCTTTTTGGCTGATCCCGGGCTGCCCGCCGCCGCCACGATGAAGCTGGTGCGGAAGGACATCGAGAAGGATAACGCCGGGCAAGTGACGCTCATCCCCGAGGACCCCGAGGATATGTGGCATGCCTACAATCTGCTGCAGGTGGGCGACAGCCTGCGGGCCTCCACCATCCGAAAGGTGCAGACGGAGTCGTCCACGGGCAGCGTGGGCAGCAACCGCATCCGCACCACGCTCACCCTCTGCGTGGAGACCATCGACTTCGACTCGCAGGCCTGCCAGCTGCGCGTCAAAGGCACCAACATCCAGGAGAACGAGTACGTCAAGATGGGCGCCTATCACACCATCGAGCTGGAACCCAACCGGCAGTTCACGCTGGCCAAAAAACAGTGGGACAGCGTGGTGCTGGAGCGGATCGAGCAGGCCTGCGACCCGGCCTGGAGCGCTGACCTGGCCGCCGTGGTGATGCAGGAAGGGCTGGCCCACGTCTGCCTGGTCACCCCCAGTATGACGCTGACCCGGGCCAAGATCGAGGTGAACATCCCTCGAAAACGCCGCGGCAACTGCTCCCAGCACGACCGGGCCTTGGAGAGGTTTTACGAGCAAGTGATGCAGGCCATTCAGCGGCACCTTAATTTTGACGTGGTCAAGTGTGTCCTGGTGGCCAGTCCGGGTTTCGTGAGAGAGCAGTTCTGCGACTACATGTTCCAGCAGGCTGTCAAGACGGATAACAAGTTGTTGCTGGAGAATCGCTCCAAATTCTTACAGGTAAATTCAGTAGTTTAGGTGCTTCATACCATCAGCTTAAGTGATCTTTAGACATGCACTGGAGTTGTATACTTTTGGAAAAGTATATTTTCTAAAACTAGCTAATAACACCACTTTTTTTTAGTAGCGTCATAAAATTATATATCAATGGAAAGATAATTTAATCAAAAATGTAATGCAATAGCTTTTATGAAGGATTTTCTATTACAATAGCAGTTATAAAGAAGAAAAGTAAAATGAGATATTACAAAAATTATGTCAGTTAATACTTAGTTGGGTAACCTTTAGTATGAATTACAGCCTTACAATGTCTTCCCATGGAGTGAACCAAGTCTTTTTGTTCTGCAGCTGTTATAATGTGAAACCAAGATTGAATGATTGCTTCTATTAATTGGGTTTTATTGCTGGGTCGCTTCTGACTGACAAGTTCCTTTAGTCAGCTCCATAGATTTTTCAATTGGGTTAAGGTCTGGGCTATTCCCAGGCCATTCCAGCAGTGGAATATGATTATCTTGAAACTCCAAAATAAAAGTGGTGTTATTAGCCATCAAACCTCAAAAACACACTTTTCCCAAAAGGTTTCCACAATTTTGGCCACTACTGTAGAAATGGGAGGTGGCCTAACCATGTAATTAAAAAAAAATCCTATTTAATTTTAATGACATAAAATACTGAAATTTGGATCACATAAATCTGCCTATAATTTGCTTATGAACTAAAAAAAAACTTTTAGAAGGATGAATGGACCTATAAATAATAGTGCAGTCAGGTTTATGAAATCCATCTATGAGAGACCTAGCTGTGTTTATTTCTGATTACTTTTTTACTGAAAAGGAGAGGTGTTGCTGTCTCTCTTAGGTCATAATCCTCAATCTTTAAAGACATAGATTTATGAAAACAATGGGCTAATATTTAAGCTAACTAGAACAATTTTACAATGAAACCCCAATATGTAGGTTTAATTAAATGTGTTTACTCGGATTTAAACTATATAATTTACAGGTGGTCCTCAGATTACGACTACAATTGAGCCCAAAATTTGTGTTGCTAAATTAAACATTTAAGTGAGTTTTGCCCCATTTTATGACTTTTCTTGCCACAATTGTTAAGTGAATCCTTGTAGTTGTTAAGATAGTAACATGGTGGTTAAGTGATCTTTGTTTCCCTACTGACTTTACTTGTCAGAGGTCGCATGACCCCGGGACACCGCAACCGTCATCAATGTAAGTCAGTTGTCAAGCATCTGAATTTTGATCACATGACCATGGGGATGCTGCAGTAATTGTAAGTGTGGAAAATGGTCATAAGTCACTTTTTCAGTCGTAAGTTTGAACGTCACTAAATGTACTGTTGTAAGTCGAGGACTACCTGTACATTCAATCTTAGCTCCTTTATAGATGTCCATTCCTATTTTTCTGCTTGAGACTTTTTTTCAAGATAAGCTGTTTAATGAGAGCATGATTCATTGTTCTACTAGTTTATTATAAAGCAAATAAAAACTGGTTTGAGATGAATATAGTTTATGAAGGAATAGGGAAATGGCATCTATTAAGTTCAACGAGGACATATTTCCCAGTAAATATAATTATTATAATACTCCTGGCTGACAAAATCCGAATAGGGCATTCTATTCTTATAGTTTTCAGCAGTTGAATAAACAGGTAGTTCTCAATGTACAGCTATTCATTTAGTGACTGTTTGAAGTTACAATGGCAATGAAAAACAGACTTACAACCATTTTTCACACTTACAACCATTACAGCAACCGAATGATCAGGTGATCAAAATTAGGATGCTTGACAACTGGCATGTATTTATGATGGTTGAAATGTCCTATTGGCACGTGATCATCTTTTACAATCTTCTGATAACCAAAATCAATGGGGAAGCCAGATTCACTTAACAACCATGTTACTAACTTAACAAGTCCAGGGATTCACTTAACAACTGCGGCAAGAAAGATCATAAAATGGGGCAAAACTCATTTGCTTACTTAGCAATGGAAATTTTGGGCTCAACTGTCGTTGTAAGCAGAGGACTAGCTGNTACATATTTCAAAGGTAATAGGGCAACAAGGAAGATGTTATTATAATAAAAAATTATCATAAATTGAAAATTGCAATATAACAATGATTTTAATATATTTTGTAATTAATTCTTTGCAAACCATTCTTTTTACATCTTTTTGCCCAACTGGGGTGGTTCGGAAAACACAAATTTGCATAAAATGATTTCCAGACTGTTTTCTGAACAGATTACAACATACTTGTTAAAAGAAAACAAATGCTGAATTATATAATCTAGATCACTGATATTTTACTTAAGTAGCCTCACTCTTTTCTCTTCACTTAAACTAGTGGGCTTACAAATTTAGATGAATTTCAGTGGTCTTTGCCAAAGAAATGCTCTTAGGACAACCAATTTGAATAATAAATGAATGATACTTTGCATTAGGATTCACAAACATTTGTCAAATGCAATTAACAGTGACCCCAAATTCCGAGAATGCAAGATGTGATGTGATGTGCATTTGCAGACTTTTTCATTCCAATACAATGGGAGGTAGGAATATCTGAAATTTCAAAAATATGTTCTAAAGAATCAGCGATAAACATTCACTGAAAGGAAAGCAATCTTTGAAAGTTGTTTCCAGCACCCAGTCTAGCCTCCAGAATGCACTTTATTTTTCTGAGCTTTTATGTGATTTTTTTTTTCTTATTCTAAATCACTGGGTTACTGCCATTCGTTATTTCTATATTCTCAAAAGGCTTTTAGAATATATGTCGGGTCCAGAAACATTCAAATGTTTCTGGGCCCTACATACAGGCAGGAAACCATGTTATGAAATGATGTAACACAATTGCACTAGTGCCAATTGGCACCATATGCCCATTTCAGAATCCAATATGTGAAGACACACCATAAAGACAAAAATGCATAGTTAGTAGTAAAAGTATTAATATTAATCTAAATGCTTACTTGTGACAAATGCACAGCACATAAAAAGAGATCATGCCAGAGTTCAAGAATATTTAGTAACAGCTAATGTTCTAGGGGTTTTCTACCACAGGCATGATTTGGTACCATGCACAGCAATACTGATCTTAACTCTGCTTCCTCAAAGTATTATATAATAGAAATTCTGGCTGCTTTTCTCTCTTTTCCTCTTCATACAAACAGACTCAGATCACACCTTTCCTCTGTATCCATAACTTCCTGAACAATTAAGTTATCCCACAGAAGAATAACAAGGCTTGTAGCTTTCTAACAAAAAACACAAGCGCTTTCTTCCTGTAATATGCAATCTGATTTCAGGAGTTGAATGCTTGTTCTTGGACGTTTTCAATTTCCTGCTTCAAGAGACTAAGTAGGAATTCATGTATATTTCTTGTTTCTGACTGTTCTGAAGTGATCCAACAGAAACGTAGCAAGACGAAGCAACCAATGAAAAGCCTAAGTTCCCAATGATAGCAAAAGTAATTCTTTTCATAATTAAATGTTTTATTCATTTTCATTCTCAATTTTGTACATTCACTTATATACTGGATATTTGCAATAATAATAATATAATCGTAAGAAAAAAGAAAAAAAAACCCCAACCTAAACACAACTCATAAACCCAACCTATCACTTTCACACACCCCTTCTTCTCCCCCTCCAAC